TGTAGAAATGAGATGCGTGTAGATCATCCATTGCACAAGAATATGTTTGACAATGTTAACAGTCAGATTGCAGAACAAACATTTTCTATCATTAGCCATTATAAAACACATTGGTCCAATTACTCATATCCAAAAAGCTACATACATTTTATCTTATTTTTTCATATATATAATTGTGATGTATCTAAAGCTCGATTTTAAATAAATTTGAAAGTTCAAAACATATTAAAACTCTTCGATATAATACTCAAAAACGCACATGATTATATGTTACGAGAGACGTGTATATCACCCTTTTGCTATATAAATGCAGATTTATACTCATAATACTTCTTTCTCATTCATATAAAGCGCATTCCTTAACTCAGTTCGTCCTTCGCATAAATTCAACGCACGATTTTATACGTATTCTGTATTATAATTTATTTCGTTTGGACGTTTAACTCAACTCATCTCGATTCAACTAAACAAGAAAGATGTATGTTATCTCTTCATATTACTCCTTGAATAAGAATGTATTTCTTAAGTTACTTTGATTTTAACTGTAATGAGCCCAAGTCAACGCATTAAGGGCCCCACCCCCTCAGAAAAGTCAATTTTTCGAAAAAAACTCGATTTTGAGATTTATACATATACTGATAGCCCTTGTGATGAACTACAACCTGGCATAATTTGTTTTGGCAAAGTGTGTATATTGGTCTTTTTTTCTGACGAATTTTTTTCTGAGGATGTGCTACTGAGGGATACTGAGAATACAGTGTTAATGATACTTTTCATACTTTTGTTTGACCGATAGAGCTGAAATTTTTCTATTCACCGCATTATGATATATTCACATACAGGCCACCAATAAAGCTTGAGGAATAGTCCGAAAATACTAGGTAGATAAGCAGACTTATTTTGAATAAAGACACTTATTGCATCAAAAAATTTTGTTTTTCGTTTTTCTCAAAATTAATTTTTTCGAGCATACTGTTTACGCGGGGAAGAATTTCTTGATAACGCCTCAATAAAGAAGGGATAATTTTTTTTTATTGCATAGAGGGTAGGTGGGGCTAGATCCTCACAGGCTCCGATTTTTGAATTTCTCTTTTGGTGAAATAAAAAACTTTAATATTTCATTTTTATTAGTGCTTTGAATTTGAACATTTTTCGAAAATGTGTTTTTAAAAATGAAAGAAAGGGAAATCCAAAAATCGGGCTCTGTGAGGATCTGGTCCTAAGGGTACTCTACAAGTTAAAAAACGCCCGAGCTTGTTAGCTTGTATCCTTATTGTGAAATCCTTCCCCACGTACAGGGTTTTTGACCAATAAATTGACCATAACTCATTAGTTTATTGGAAATTTGGGGGAGATATTTCACTCATAATCTATCCTAGCCTAGACTAATATCCTCCAAAACTTTGGATGAAATTGGACGAGAAATAACAAAGTTCGTTTCTGAGGGGGCCCCCATTAAGCACTTATATACTATGCCTTCATATCACTTCTTATATAAAGTGAATTTAAGTCATCTCGACTCCAACCCAACCCAACCCAACCCAACTCAACACACCTCAACCTAATCTAACCCAACCCAACCCAACCCAACCCAACCCAACCCAAC